GCCCGGGACCCGGACGGAGACCCGGAGCCCGAGGCTGCCGGTGCGTCGTGCCTGTGGCCCGGCCCTGGCTTGCGGGCCGTCTCGGCGTCCCGCGCTCTGGCCGGGAGCTGCTGGTGGTCCCGCCCTGGGTCTGAGGTCTCGGGCCCCTTCGGCTGGCCTGGCGCTCCTTCTCCTGGAGACTCGCGTGTGTCTCCCTCTCCCGCCTCCAGGCCCTGACCCTCCGGATGCGACGCTGGACCCCGCAGCGAGTTCTGCGGCTGGCCCAAAGCCGCCCAGCCCCTCTGCTCTCTCTGAGTCCGAGGACAGGAGCCCCGTGTCCGCCCCGGGGTGCCAGGGCTGCACCTCAGGTGCCTCCTTCGTCACCGCAGTTGAGGCCTCAGGAGCCGAAGACCCCGCGCCAGTCACTTCCCTCGGGGCTGGGTCGTTGTCCCCAGCCGGCAGGGATTCCCTCAGGGCGTCCATCCCATCCCTGGCATTCCGTCGCAGGGCGCCCCCGAGCTGGCCCATGGAGCAGGCCTGGGCGACTGTCTACAGGCCCTGACTCCGACCTCTCCGGATGCTGCTGGCCTCCCAGGCTGCCCTTTCTCCTCCGTGCCCCTCCTGGATGGGAGCCCACCATGGGCCCTGCCACCTGGGCCCTCCGACGCCCGCTTCGTGACCGACGACCAGACGTCCCTTGAGAGCGGCGAGGCCACCCTCTGGTTGACGGAGGACGAGGTGAGCTCCACAGGGGGCAGAGACCCTGTCCCCTCCTGCTCGCACCTGCCAGTCCCGACTGTGTCTGACCGGGAGCGGCTGAAGAGATTCCGAGTGCTGGACGAGAGTCCTGGCCCTGTCATAGTCGTCACCCGGCAGCGCTACCTTCGCCAACTCGAAGAGGACCAGGCAGCTCCTGGTTAGTCCCCAGGGACTCTCCCCCTTCCCCCAACTCAGTCCCGCCTCCCTCCTTGTCTGAGAATCACCCCTGTCTCCATCTCCCTTGACTCAGTTTCTCCTCCCAGGCCCAGACTTCTCAGGGTACAGCTTAGAGCTGGCCAAGGCCCTGCGGACGGGCCATATCCCAGACGCCCAGGCAGATGAAGATCTGCTGGCCCAGCAGTTTGAGCAGCCAGATCCTGCCAGGAAATGGCGGGAGGGAGTTGTGAAGTCCAGTTTTACCTATTTGCTGCTGGACCCCAGGTACGTGGGCCAGGAAGGCCCAGAAGTGAGCAAGAACATTTGGGGATTGTTTTTTGTTTGTTTGTTTTTGGAGTGGGAGTCTCACTCCGTCACCCAGACAGGAGTGCCGTGGCCGTTCCTGGTCACGGCAGCCTCGACCTGCTGGGCTCCGGCCATCCTTCCGCCTCAGCCTTCCAAGTAGCTGGAATTACGGGAGCGCGCTACCACGCC